CATCCACGTGCGCCGCCAAGACTCTCTCTCTCTCTCTCTCTCTCCCGAGTTTCTAGCATAGCGCTCGCCCCGCCCATCGCGCGCTGGCAGATGCGCGTGCGACCCTCAGCAACCACACAGCGTCGCCTGTGCATGCTGCGGGTCAGAAATCCACATTAATTCCTTTACCCCTCAGGGGCAAAGTGCGTGGGCTGACCATACGCGCATCAAGCACGCTGGTTTCTTGCGCAGCCCAAAATCGAGGCCCCGGTCCCTTGGCATTCTCCATCCTCAACTCCAAGACCGTCTCCCAGGATTTCCAGCTGCTGGCATTGCACGATAAGAAACCCCATTATTTCCTCTTACAGCTTCCGATACCCTGGAGGTCCTACGACGGAGTAGACGAGCCCTGGGGGCAGGGCCTAGCACAACATTCGGCGACTGCACCTCAAGGGTGCACCTCGAGGCTGGGAGTTGCGTTCTAACGCCTGCTGCCTCATGCCCCATGCGGCAGGGGCTTTGGCGAGGGCCGCTGTGGGATCAGCGGTTCGCACGAGGTTAGGCCGATCTCCCTCGCGGATCGACCCGCAGCCCCCACCGTCCGTCTTTGCACAGGCCCTCTGTGAAGAAGTTGCCCCCAGTCCAGAGGAATGCGTATCTCTGGCCACTTGGATATATACATGTCCAGTATCACGTGCTGTACCGTGCTGACTCTGCTTTTCGAAACTGCATCAAGCGCCGCGTGAGGAAGGGGATAAAAATTCAACGGGTCCCAGTCCAGAGAAATGCACTTCTCTAGCCACCTGGGGTAACACGTCGCTGCTCTAATGCGTCCCGAGTCCAGAGGAATACGTCTCTGGCCAACTGGGGCAATGCCACTAGCCGTAGCAGACGACTGCGCCGACGAAGTGGAAGGCATTGGCCAGCATTTCCAACCATCATCAGGAGCATGCCTGACATCATGAAATACACGTTCTGTCCGAATCGCAGGTGCAGAAACCCCACATCAGGCCAATCGGCATCAATCGTGTTGTCATGCCAACACTCAGTATTCCCGTCAAACCGGCTGTCTTTTCTGGCCGCTGGATGCCATCTGCGCCCGAAAGATTATCTCGGCTGCTGCAAGCTCCTTGGCCGCTTCGTCGCGGTTGTCATCTCCCCCAGCAGCGCGTCCGGCTGACAGAAGGGCCCGTCCAGCGTCTGAGAGTTTCTTGCCGGGGCCATCGTCCAGATCCATGCCAGCACCATCACCAGCAGGTACTGATGGGCATGGTTTCCACCACCACTACCATAGGTTGGAGGGAGAGGTCCTCCTCCTCCTCCTCTTCTTTCTCCTCCTCCTCCTTCTCCAACATATGGTAGTGGTGGTGGAAATCAGTCCCATCAGGTACATCTTCGCCATCAGCCCACAGGCTCAACTTTGCGCTGCGCCTCTTTGGTGGCGACGGCCAGGGCCCCCGGTAAACCTCGGAGCGCGTCGAGGTGCCGCGCCCCATCCTGGTCGGCCCGCATCTCAGAACACCGATCTGCAGCATCCGGGCGAAGAGAACTATGCACATGCACTGATCCTGGCAAGGCCCATCCTTGACCCAGGATCGGTGCATATGCCTTCCTGGCCAAGGTAGGAGGGCGTATGCACCGATCCTGGGCTCAGGACGGGCCTGGCCAGAATCGGTGCATGTGCATAGTTCTTTTCCCTCTAAACATCCCTTGGTCTCCTGACTCGCCAACGCAAACTGCGGCTCCCACATCTTCAGGATCTGTTTACCATTTGAAGCAACCCCCTTGACAAAGGCTTCGCTGGCCTCCTGCTGAGGGATCTCACGCTGCTTCTGGGCTCCTTCAAGAAACACCTGCGCGTCCTCAAGTTTCTTGCCCAAGGCCGCCTTCGTTTTTCTGCTTCGAGCCGCGTCTCCCCCAGCTTGGACGAACGTGTAGCCACATCCTCTCTCGCCCTGGCAAGTCGGATTTTGATGGGCATCTGCGGAACGCGCAGTGGTTCAGCATCCTGGAGCGCCTTTTGCAGGCGAGTGACCTGAACTTTAGCAAGCGGCCGATCTTCCTCATGTGCAGAGTATCGAGTTGCCTTTTGCCAGTGCGCCAGCCTTTCTATGATCTCCATCGTCTCATTGCCTTCTTCAACGTCAATGCGCCACAGAGGTTCGACTTCATGGCCAGCCTTGGTCCTTCCTTCTCCATAAGTGTTGGTCCGTTTGGGCTCGTGCCCCCTCAGCCCACTTCCCTTTGGCCCTCGGGGTTTTGCTCCACCTGCAAGTTCCTTTTCATGGGCCTTGTTTGCTGCCTTTGCCATTTCAGCCGGCGCTGAGCAGCGGCAAGCCCACTTGATCCGAAACGCCCAGCTTCCTTTTTCCGAAAGCACTTCGTGCATCTCCATGATACCGCTCCATGAGACATCGCAGCATTGGAATGTGCACTGGGTGCGTGAAATCCGTGTTCCAGCAGGAGCTCACAACATCCGTGCCACCTGGGAGCCTGACAGAGGGCTTGAGCCAACATGGCTGTGGACTCCCTCACCCTGACCCCCCTCCTCTTCCATGCTTCTTCCCTTCGCCCTCCTCCGTCTCCATCCTCTGGTTCTCATTCCCCCTCCCTCTTACCTCCTTCCCTCGCATCCTCGTCATCCCTCCTTGCTGCTCACTTCCTGTTTCTTTGTGTGTTCTCAATGTGTTACGAGCGTGGGGCTTCAGGGTGGACTCAGAGGCTCGAGCGGTCCCGAAGAGAGATGCCCTCTGCCGAAGGATTGCGCATGGCTGCCGCAATCACCAAACCTCAGCGCGATGTCATGCACCAGCGCGCGGGCTTCTAAGCCAAGGGCCCGACCATCTGGACACGGTTCTTCTGACGCGCGATACGCTTGACCTTGTGGCAGATACAGTTGGAGCGCGCCTGTAGCACGCGCGATTCATCTAGCTTCTACATCGTGAGATGGAGGTTTGCCGTGTACATCTATACATCTATCGATGTTTCTACATTTGTATCTAGGTACAGGAAGTTCAAAAAACTAGGACGGCATGCCCGGGCTCAGTCTCGCGGTCCTACTCTAAAATCATATGTTTAACATTCCTTGTGTTGTTTCATGTCCTGCCGTTATCGCGCGAGTGATACTCGAAAACCTAGTTTAAAAAATGGTCACGCTTATTTTCCCCCAGATGTTCCTCCCGATAATCCTCCAGATCTTCACCCCGATCTTCCCCCAGATGTTTCCCTTGATCTTTCCGCAGAACTTCACCCAGATCTCCTCCCAGATCGTCACGCAGATCTTGAGGTCTTCCTCCAGCCCTTCCCCCAGGTCCTCCGGCAGATGTTCCTCCCGATCTTCCTCCGGATTCTTACCCAGCGTTTTCCCCAAATCTTTTCCCAGATCTCCCCGCTGATCGTCACGCAGATTTTCCTCCAGATCTTTCCCCAAATCTTCCCCCAATGTTTCCCCCAGATTTTCCCCCTGATCTTTCCCAAGATCTCCCCCCAGACCTTCCACCAGATCTTTCCCTAAATCCTTTCCCAGATCTTACCCCAGATCTTCTTCCAGATCTTCATCTTACCCCAAATCTTCCCCCAGATGCTCCCTCAGATCTTCCGCCACATCTTTCCCCAGATGTTCCCCCAGATCTTTCCCAGATCTCCCCCCAGATCTCCCTTCAGATTTTCCTCCAGCCCTTCCCCCAGATCCTCCCCCTGATTTTCCCCCAGATCTTCCTCCAGATATTCCTCCAGATCTTCACCCAGATCTTCCACCAGATTTTACCCCAGATTTTCTCCCAGGTCTTTCCCAAAATCCCTCTCCGGATGTTTCCCATGATCATCCGCCAGATCTTCCCCCAGATCTTCCTCCAAATCGTCACCCAGATCTTTCCTCTGATCTTTCCCGATGTTGTCCCGCAGAGCGTTTTCTATGTCCCCCCAACATATTCACCCAGAAATTGGTTCAGATTTTACCCCAGATTTTCCTCCAGATCCTCCTCCAGATCTTCACCCAGATCTTCCCCCAGATGTTTCCCCGGATCTTCTCCCTCAGATCTTTCTCCAGATCTTCCCGAGATCTTCCCGCAACTTTTGCTGCAGATTTGCGACGCTTTGCACCGCCAAATCTCCCTCAGCACAGTCCCCAGATGTTCGCCCAGATATTCCACCAGATCTTTCCTCAGATGTCCCTCCAGATCTTCCTCCAGACTTCCCGCCAAATATTAGATCCGAGATGCTCCTTCAGATCTCCCCCAGGTCTTCCGCCAAATATTCCTCCAGATGTATCGCTTTGCAACCGCGCCAAATCTTCCATTGGACACTCCCCAGATCTCCCGACAGATCTTCCCCCAGATCTTCCCCCTGCTGTTCCAGGGCGTCCCTTGTTTGTTTCATGCCATGCCGTTGTTTTCAAAATTCATAGTTTTGTTCTCTGCCTCGCTTCGGGGCTGCGATCTCTGCGCGGCAACCTAGAATTGAAAATTCCTTGCTTGAAGAATTCCTTGTTTTTTTCAACCTCCTTGTACACCAATATTCACATACTGCGATTGACCTATGTCGGTCGTGAGGCAGGTAAACGTATGTGAATACACAACTACAAGCAATTCATGTGTGTATTGAGGTAGATTTATTGATAGACCGATAGAGGCTGTTGAATGGATGGGGGCGGTTGTCCTGATGGCCGCATCGTTGTTGGTTCCACCCCAGCGAACCTCATCATCGGCTTTCGGCCGGTCTTGCAGGTATCGATTCCGTCCGGCTCGATTCGATCCGATTCCTATCGTCCATCTTCAGACGATTCGATGTGGCCCGATGCTTGCATTGCGTTGTTTTGAATCTTGGTGCAGCCGAGCACATTCGATGTCCCCTCTGTGCCGCATCAGGCCAAACTGTCGCACATTCCAATTCGATCCTGTTCCCCGATGTGATGATGACTGATTTTGCCAACCGTTCCACTGCAATGGAAAGCCTAAGCGGCGCCACGTCAGGGGTGCGCTCGGATCAAAGAAGCATACGCGTGGCAAGCATGCCCAGAGCCGATGGGTGCAAGGGCCCCTTTTGATTCGAGGGCCCGCCTCAGCGCCAGTGTCGACTGCACCGCGCATGCGCGATCGGCGGATCTGGTGCTGTCTGTGGTCGCGGCGGTCCTCGCGTACTACTTCCGCGACAGGATCCGGGCCGAGTTCGGCCTGCACGAGTGGCTCCCGTTCCTCTTCGCGGGCCGGCGCTCCGCGGGGGAACACACCTTCCAGGTGTGCGTCTGGAAGGTGGACTCGCGGACGCATGCGGAGCTGGACGAGGACGGCGACTACGGAGGGTCAGAGCCCCGAATCATCAGGGGTTTCTCGGGTCAGGGATAACTCGGGGTCCTTTTTCGGGAATCCAAACCCGAGTTACCCCGGACCCGAGTTACCCCGGATAACTCCAGGGTGTGGCTTGCGAACGGTGTCGTCGGGGCCTGGAGGGTACCTCGGTGCCCGCGTCGGGCCTCCCGCACCCCAGACGGGGTCCGAGTGGATGGGGTCGGATGATCGCGGCGCATCGCCGATGCATCGGCGATGCGGCTCGATGTGGAGCCGGTTTTCGCCATGCCGACGGCGCCGATGCACCGCAGATGCATCGCCGACGTCGCCGATGCATCGTCCATGTATCGCCGATGCATTGGCGATGCATTGGCGATGCGTCGCGATCCTCCGATCCCATCTACTCGGACCCATCTAGGAGGCCTTTAGTGTTGCAAGCCGCACCCTTTGCAAAAGCACACTCTTCGAAGTCGCCGAGAGGAGGAGGAGGAGCCCGCCGCCGGAGGCGTGGTCGCCCGCGGCATGCAGGCCATGGGCATCCCGACCTTCAGCGGGGTGGGTCCGCTGCGGGCGAAGGGCTACAAGGCGCTCTTCGGACAGGGCGGCACCGTGCTGCCCGAGTCGATCTCCGTCCGCCTGTGCTACGGGGGCGAGGAGCTCCAGCGCACGCGGAGCCAACAGGCCGGGAGCGGCGGCATGTTCTCCGACGTGTACCTCTTCCAGGAGAACTTTACCTTGAGCCTCGAGAGGCGCCCCGGCACGGTGTTCACCGTCGAAGTCCAGGGCAAGACCAGCCAGGGGGCTGACTTCTCGAGCGCCGTCAACTTCGTGGCCGACAGGCTCGACAGGGCCTTCCAGCGCAGCAGCGAGGCGGCCTGCAAGCCCGGCTACGTGATGGACCAGCGCATCGCGGATACCCAAGTAGTCAGGATGAGAAGCTCCCGGGTGGACGAGAGGGTCATGACAAACCTCGGTTTCCACCATTACCCTGGGAGCAGCGGAGGAGAGATTTGGCTCGCCTTCTGCGACATGGAGGAGGAGGAAGCCGCGTCGAACTGGCCCGCCTTCTGACGAGCGAGAGGAGGCTGGCGCCTTACCGAATTCAAGCTCCCGGGCCCTCCGAGCGCGGGCTGTATAATTAGCGGCTCCCGGCGCCGTCTGGGCGCCAGCTTCAAAGCCAGCGCGAACGCCCTCCGCCGCGGACAAAAAGCATCTCGCGCGGACGACACAAGACATCTCAGGAGGGAAAAAACACAGAGACACAATGATACCGGAGAACAAAAAACAATCATAATCTTTTCAGTGTTGTAGGGCTATAGGGCTCTATGGGCTATGAGGGCTATAGGGCTATAGGGTAATAGAGCTACAGGGCTATAGGGCTAGAGGGCTTGAGGATATAGGGGTATAGGGCTATAGAGCTATAGGGCTATACGGCTATAGGGTTATAGGGCTACAGAGCTATAGGGCTATCGGGCTATAGAGATATAGAGCTGTAGGGCTATAGGGCTATATATAGGGCTATTGGGCTATTGGGCTATAGGGCTGTAGGGCTATAGGGCACCCCCTGGCAACCGGGCACCCCCGGGCACGCCCAGGCACCTGGGCACCCGGGCACCCGGGCACCCGGGTTCCCCCGGGCACCCGGGCGTGCGGCGAAAATCGGCGGCAAACCTAACCTAACCGTATGAATCCGCTAGGACGCATACAGAGGCTAGCTCTGATTGGGGAACTAACCGTCGACTCCCAGGAAAATATTGGAAAATACGGGAAGTGGGGGGGAAGAGGAAAGTCCAGAAAGTATGGGGAAATCTGGGGAATCCTGTTATGCGTGCGTATTTCTTTGTGCGTCCCATGGGGCCCCTTTCAACACTGCTGCCCCCGGCCCGAGGGCAGAACTTTTGGGCCGCACCCCGGGGCGCGAAGCTCCTCGCGCCTCGCGCGCCGCTGCTCGGGTCGGAGACGCGTCCGCCTCCGGGGGCGGTGGCGCCCGGGGCGCGGAGACACCGGCGCGGAGGCGGGCCGCCCAGGAAGCGACAGACATCGGCGGCCAGCCAAGGGGGGGGGGAGGCGAGGGGGGGGGGCCCTCCGAGGGCTCTCGTGAGGCGCCTGGCCCTCTGCGAAGGCTTCGGAGCCCTCCCCGAAGACGCGGAAGACTTCTCCTTCTCAGAAGGCCGGGGGGGCTTCCGAGAAGCCCCGCGCCCTTCTGATGAGGCCTTCCCTCCTCCTGTCGCTCCTCCCCCTCGGTCGCCGGATATAAGCAGAACGTTCGGAGGTCCGTTCGGATCTCTTGGGTCGGCGCTGAACTTCCCTCCCCACACCACACGCCCCTGCTCCTGCGCGCGGAGCGCGCTAGAGGCGCCATCAGAGGTGGCGGGGAGGGAGCCTCCCGGTTCTGCTGACAGTTGATGATCATGCCGCGGTGAAAAGGCCTGCCCTGGACAGGGACATCGAAGTTGGAAACACCGAGAGCCAAATTAAGGCCACCCTGGCCGACCACTTTGCTGTGAAGAAGTCTCCTCAGGAGGTTACAGTTTCAGCAGGCTTCGTTACTACCCTGCGTGAGCTCGAGGTGAAGTCTGAAGACATCCGAAGACGCCTTGTCGCCATTTTGGCAGAGATGCCTGCTTCCCGGCCCGTTTCTGAGTTGTGTTCGGCCCTGGGGTCCGCCTGGCCCAAGCTGGACATGAAGCAGGCTAGAATTGACACAATCCACTCCTTTGGCACTGCTGACAGTGATCGCCATCGCTGGCATTGCTGTTCCTGTGGGTCTGAACCCAAGAAGAGGTTCAAGGGTGCCACTGTGAGGTGGCTTCGAGAGCCCCGCAGTGCCCCAGTGGTTGCTACCCCTCCTGTCAGGCCCCTAGCTCCGTGGCCCCTACCCGCCATAGCCTGACTGCGCACGCCTCTCACACTAGGCCGCGGTGGGGGGTTGGGGTGGGCTCTCGACAGGACTTGATTTTCGCCTGTTCGACCTGCGGTGGGCTCGGCACGGACTGCTACAGGCGAGGCGGGAAGTTGGTGAAGGAGTGCCAGCCCCCCCCCCCCCACAAGCACGTTGCTGGCGTTTTCAGGGCCCTTGAGAAGGGCCTCGCCCCTGGCCACGCGAAGTCTGCCGGGGAGATCAATTCCCAGGCGTGACCCTGTGGAGCCGCGCGCAGCGCATCGTGTAATCTAATACAGTACAAGTCCTCCCTCGTATCCTCCTTCATCTTGCTCCGCCACTGTTCCCCCAAGGGCTGCCACAACGGCCGGGGAACACAGTCCAATAGCCTGACTTCTGCCTAACGTTTGGCGCGTGGGCATTTCCAAGGCAGGGTCCAGTGGTGATTCGCCGTGTGCGGTTTCGGTAAGCAAGCACTTTTCTGTGGCGACGGGACCAAGCCCATGCAGTCGCGTGTAGCGCAGGACGCGGCCCTTTCTTCATATACTGCACGCCGCGGGACAGTGCGGATATACGTGGCCGCTTCTTAGCAACCGTGCGCAGACGCTTTGAACTCCGTGTGGGGCACGATCCGCGTGAAGGGGGTGCCGAATAATCTGGGTGCCTCCGCGCGAACACGCCACTGAGGCCTCAGGTGGAGCTCCCTTTGGTGCACGACTCGGGTGAGGCTTGTGCCTTCATGTTCGGAGGCACACCATGCGACGTTGCTCAGGTGTGCTATGGGTGAAGCTCCTTTCAGGGCACGGTCCGCGCAATGGGCGGGCAGACAAATTTCGAACCTTGTCTGCTGTGGGTGGTGCTACCTGTCGGGCGTGATCCGAGTGAGTGGTGTGTCGCAGTGGGCGGGGGTGGCGCTATGCGAATCCTGTCTCTAGGGCCGTCGGTCGAGCTCCGTATGGGGTATGCTCTGTGTGCGTGGTGAGCCCAAATGAATATGGGGGCGTGGTGAGAACCTTGCTTCAGGGCCCGTAGGTGGAACTCCTTGTGTGTGTGTGGCATGATCCTCCATGTGGCCTGAGCCGTTTAGGCTCGAGCCATTTTGGCTCAAGCTGTTTCCGCTCGAGGTGGCTTGCGCGGCGCGGGCGCCCGCGCGGCGGGCGGGCCCCGGGTGCGGCGCGCGGGGCGCGCCACACGTGCATCGGGAGGGCTGCTGGGCAGCCGTCCCCCGTCTCCTGGACGGCTGGGCCTGGGCGCACTGGCGGGGGCCAGTGCGACTCGTCACGACGCCAGTGCCCCGCGCCGCAGTGATTTGGTTCGCGGGTGCCAGCGACGGGGCCGGGGCAGCCGCGGCACCCGTGGCGCCCGCGGCGGCGGTGGCCGCAGCTGGCGGAGCGTGCGGAGCGGGAGACGCCGCGGCGCCAGCAGCCGCCGATGCCCACTGCGCGGAGGAGCCCAACGCGGGGTAAGGCGCGGGCATCGGGCTGCCGAGGGAGCGCCCCCGATCCCCGAGAGGCTGCTGCCGGGGCGGCGCCGCCGCCGGAGCCAGCGCATGCCGAGCCCGGGACCCGAGCCCTCCCTCAGGCTTCACCCCTTCCCCGAGCGGCGAGGTATGGCATCAGCCGCGGCGATTGGCCCCGCGGACAGGCGTCAGGACGCCGGCGCGTGGCAGGGGCTTGGCGACCCGGTGCGATGTGCGGCGATCGCGGAGCTAGACGCGTCGCAGGCAGGGACCCACTCCCGCTGCGACCTCCAAGGCCGGGCCCGCGCTGGCAGTTGCGGCCAGCGACAACGCGACGACCGCTTCCGGAGGAGCCCACGCGGCGGCCGCCCCTGCTGGGCCGCTGCCGACCCCCGGGCAGCGAGGAATACAGCAGCGGCAGCACCAGCGGCTACAGTGCGCAGCTGGGCGCAACAGCTCTGCGCCAGGCGGGCTGGCAGAGCTTCACCGCGGTGCATTTCCCAGAGGCGCCCAGGAGAACCAAGGCGATCCTCCATGGTGGTCTTGGCTGCAGCGACCCCTGGCCATGGCGGCGCATCCGGCTCCTCTGCGCCTTTGGACCCCGAGAGTCGGCTCCGGCAGCGACGGCGTCCCCAGTTGCGGAGCCGAATGCGACGCGGTCGCTCCGGCGTCATCGACATCGGCATCGAGGCCAGCTACGACGCGCTGTGGCTCTGGCGTGGAGCGCCAGGGCGTACGCACAGCCCGACTGCTGTGGCAACGCTTCCGCGCCAGCACTCAGCACGCAGCGGACCTGCCCCGGGCCCTTCCCGAGGACGACGGTTGCGCTGTAAGTGGGGGGGCGGCTGGGTCGCCTCGTGCAGCCGCCTGCCCGTGCGCGGAGGCGGTGCGGCCTTCGGTCCTCCTTGTGGAGCACGATGTGGGCGACGATTTCGAGGCGGCCAGCCATTCTCGCGAGGGCACCAATGCCGCCGCCGCGGACGCAGTGGTTCCAACCCGCCCTGTGGAGGCCGGGGGATCACCAAGGAGGTGTTTTTGCAGGAGTTGCGTGCGGGCTTGGCCAGCTCATGGTGGGCGGTAGCGCGGGTGCTTGCGCCATCGCTGCGGGTCGCCGTTCGCGGGTCTGGCTTCCGCGAGCCAAGCGTCCGGCTCGAGGAGGCCGCGCCTCGGCGATCCCTGTTGCGAGGTGGCGCCAGCGGGTCGCCGAGCGGGTGCTAGAGGCGGCTGGGCGGCCACAATGCGCGCGCGCTCGCGCCGCCAGGCTGGCGCCGTCGCGACGGTCGTGAGTCCCTGACTTCGGTGGCGAGTCATACCGACGACATGACGGCGGCTGTGCGCGCTCCCGGGTGAGGAGCTGGCGCGAGCGCTCCAGGCGAGAACCGAGGCCTTCTCGGCCCTCCCGGAGCTGGCGGTGGAGGCGGCGCAGCTTGCGGCGGGCTGCTCGAGTTCGCGGCCGGGTGATGCGTGGCCATTCGGCGACGGGGGCGCGGGGCTTACGGCCGCCCCCCCGGCTGGTCGGCGCGGCCTTCTGAAAGTTTGGGCGCGCGGCGCGTTCTCCCCCCTCCCCCTTTTCGCGTGCCTCCCTTGTCCTCCCACTTTTCAGTGCCACCCCTTTCGGTCGTCTCTTCGTGGTCGTTGTTTTGCTTTGCCAGTGGACTCCTCTTGCGCTTGTGAAGAGAAAGTGGGGCACGAACCTTGTGAGAGGTATGCCGGAGCGAGCGGGGCGACGTTGTTCGAAGCTTCCCTCTGGTTCCGTGGGTGCAATGACCCGCGGGGCAGCACCCGATCCGCTTGAGGGATGTGCCGCCATCTGTGCGAATCTTGTCTCTGTGGCCGTAGGTGGAGTCCCTGCGGGTTGCGATCCCAGTGACGGGTGTGCCGAGATGGACGGGGGTTCTGTAGGTAGAGCTTTTTGAGGGCACGACCCATGTGAAGGAGGTGCCAACAATGACGGGGGTGGAGACGCTATTGAGATATGCGTGCCCAAGATTGCCCAGACTCATGTGGTGAATTTGGTGCGATAGTGCGCGTGCCCATCCGCAGACTTCTATGATGCTGTTTTTGCGTGGGCTGGAATCTAAACGCACGTGAATTGCGCGTGGCTCTAGTTTTCGACTGCTCTCGAGGCGCTGTCTCACCCCATATCGTTCCCAGAGTCCGCCCGAGCGAGCAGTCTCAGGCGCCCGACCCGGTCTTTTCGGGAGGGTCCAGGGCCGTCCAGGGGTTTGGCAACAGCACCGCTCTGTTTCCAATGCCATGCGACGCTCCCCTCCTCTCGTGCTTCTCTGCCTCTTCCCCTTCTTGTCTGCTTTTCCAACCCCTGTGGGACGTAGAACATTGTAACACAACTCCATGCAGGTACTAGGATTCGGATGTCCGACAAGAAGGTCTCTCCCCCCCCAGCGGCGCGGTGCGGCGCGGCCGCCGCAAGGCCAAGCGCCTCGCGGAGGAGGAGGCATCCAAGAAGCGGGAGCGCCTCGGTGGGAGAAGGGGACGACGGTCAGTCGACGCTACGTCTAGTTGGAGTAATACCGGTTGGAACCGAAGGGTTCCATCTGGTGGTCTTCCATGTAGAATTGGCCTACTTAATGGGCGGCGTTAAGGCACGTGGGCATGGCCGCATGTATTGTTCTGTGAGGACCTCTCGGGGAAGAAGCCGCCGACCTCGACGTGCGCGTTTGTGTTGTGGTCGTGGTCGATTTGGCCGTCCTGGGACGTGACATCGAGCACAACCCGTACTAAGTTGGTTGTGGTGTTCTGACGAGTGTTGACATGCATAAGACATATCCCATGGTGTGTCTTCGGTGTGGCTGCGGTCGCTTGCTGCCCCAGCCCAGTTGGAGCCAGGGCGCTCTATCTGATGGGACTTCGGCTGGACTTCGTCTCTCCCAACGGGCAGCGCTACCCCCACTTCCCGAACAGGACGCTGTTCAGTATGGCCCGGGAGGGCTTCTAAGAAATCCCCCTGCCTTCGAGCAGACCACCTGCCTTCAAAGGTCGCCCTCCTCGCACGACGCCCTTGTACGTGCCGCCAAGTTCTCGGATTTCAATATTTCCGAACTCTCAACCTTGGAAGTTGCGTGACCTCTGATGGAAAAGACTCGGGGCAAGAGCTGGGTCCGCGTGCTGAAGCAGTCACGACGTGGGACATCCGGTACCAGCTTCCCCCCATCCCGGTGACGGTAACGATCGGCGTAGAGCATACAGGCGGCCCAGATTAGTATGTCGACCCTGCCAGATCAAGGGTACCCTCGTGTCCTGTGTCTTGCGACCCATGTCTCCTGCATTTCTGTGGCAACGTGGCCCTCGGACGGGTCTTGTGTCCTCTCGCGTGTCCTCTCCAATCAAGTCCGACTGTATGGGTGCATGGTTAGGGGCGCGGCCGTGTGTCTTCCGGGGGCCTGTCCCTTCCAAGAAGCCCCCGACCTTCTCAGAAGGGCCTGGCCGTCCTCGCCCGGCCCTCCCATCCTTTCTGCGCGCTGCCACCGATCGCGACGGCGAGGATGGCGAAGAAGTCATGTTTGACAGCTTTGTTCTTGCGGAGCGACTCCGCACGAAACTGTCCGCGGCGACTCAAATATCACCAGGGCGGTTTACGCGAGCGTAATGAGAAGGAGCGCGATGACTGAGGAACTCAGGCCGAGGAAGTGGGGGTTGAGGAGGACGAGGCGGAGCGGCAGCATCAGCTGCACCAGTCTGGAGCATCAGGGGGGGATGTGTCGGTTACACGTTAGGGTGAGCCATCGCCCAGGTGATCTTTGGTCTGGCCTCCATCCCCCCGATCGTTGAAGGCGATTCGATAGCAGCGGCTTTCGCGCTTGGATTTCCCCCCCATCGATGCCCGCGCACCAAAGGTCCTTCTTGCCTGGGATCACGCTTGTGTGTAGCCGAATGTGGAACAGGCGCAGCGGCAGGGGGCAGCAGGAGCGGGAAGCAGTTGGGGGGGGCGGGACATGCTCCCCTGCACGCCTGCGGCCCCCGCGGCCGACGCCGCAGCCGCCGCCGCCGGCGTCGTCGTCGTCGTCGTCGTCGTTGTCGTCGTCGTCGTCGTCGTCGTCGTCGCCGTCCCCGTCGTCGTCGTCGACTTGGCCGTCGCCGTCGCCGTCCTCGTCGTGGTCGCCGTCGCCGCCGACACCCGACATTTCCACGGCCCCCGCCGCCGCACCGGCCCTCGCCGCCGCCGCCGAGGAGTCCGAGGCCCGGAGGCGGGAGGCCGAGGAGGCGCAGCGGATGCAGGAGCCGGGGCCTGCCGCCTCGGGGCCCGTGCCTGCGTCGGGCGCGGAGGCTCGAGGCCTGCGAGGCTCGGAGATGCCTCGGCCCCTCCTCGGGTCTCTCCAGCCGGGCCTTCCCGGGGCCTCTGCCCTCTGCGGGCGTCGGGGCGTCGAGGCTCGAGGCTCGCGGCTCGGGTGCTGGCGGAAGATGCGTGCCGATCTCCGCTGCGTTTGGAGTGGCGGGTTCCCTTTCCCAGGGACTAGGAGCAGTGGATGCGGATACAGTTCTGGCCCCTCGAGGCTGGATGTTTGTCCACGTCCACTGCGGATCGGCCCCTCGGCGCCCCCTTCCCGGAAGGTCTAAGACGCAGAGGGTACGGACATGCATTTTGCCCGCATCGGGGATGTTTCGGCCCTTCTCGGGCCTTTGGAGACCGCCGGGAGAGGCCCGTGCCCTCCAGCGACATCGGGCTTCGAGGATGGAGGCTCCAGGTTCGGGGATGCTTCAGCCCTTGTTGGGCCTCTCGAGGCCTCTGGAGGTCAGAGGCAACGTTAGTGGGGACAGGCTCAGGGGGTGATGCATCGCCCCCCTCCGTCGCCCATGCATCGCCGATAGGTTGGACGCCCGCAATGGATACGGGACAATTGGATACTGTGCCCCACAACAAAGTTTTGCTCTGATGCTGAGGAGGCGGAGGAGGAGGAGGAGGAGGATGAGGAGGAGGAGAAGGAGGGAGGATGAGTAGGAGGAGGAGGGGGAGGAGGAGGATGAGGAGGAGGAGGATGAGCAGGAGGAGTGGGAAGGGTCGGGGCCAATCGACAGCGGCCGTTGCTGGGAAGACAGCCTTCTGTCTCCAGGAGAGAACGCCCGCGGCGGCACCGACGGCGAGTCGTGTGCAACATGGACAGGAAATACCGTCGGCTTCCGAACACATGCTTTCCGTGCGTGCCCATGTCGTTGGTGCCGAATTTGGAGCTTGACTAGCCCGCCCCCCCAGGAACCTCGCTGATTTGCTATCCGGACCGCATCGCCGATCGATTCGCGATGCATCGCCGATCCCATGTCGACGTCCCCCCCCGTGAGCTGGTCCACCCAAAACGTTCCCCTTTGGGAGGCCGCCGGGCCACGCATACCCCCAGCGTCTTGGTCAAATCAAGGCAGATGTTGTTCACGCCCGTGGGCCTCTGGACAAACACTAAGACTCGGCAAGACCAGTCAGTTCTGGGAAGAGGTCGACAGTTCTGGGGTCTGCGTATCAAAAAATAATGTCCCGTCGGATGCTTGGCTTCTCCTTATCCTCCTGGACCTCCTTCCCTCCTGGCGCTGAGCTCACTCACTGGGCCCAGATTCCAGGCGGTGTGGAAAGAAATTCCTCTTCTCCCCCTCCTTCTCCACCTACAGCTCCCTGACCCCATCAGCCCATCCAGAAACTCTGCCCAGGCGAGTTGCCCCTGATCAGGGATGTGGAGCAGAGAGAGAGAGAGAGAGAGAGAGTGGAATACCGGGCTGGGGAAGCCGTTATATTCCAAGAGGCGGCGGATTGAGGAGGAGGGGGAGGAGGAGGAGGAGGAGGAGGAGGAGGAGGAGGAGGAGGGGGAGGAGGGGGAGGAGGAGGAGGAGGAGGAGGAGGAGGAGGAGGAGGAGGAGGAGGAGGAGAGGAGGAGAAGGAGGAGGAGGTGGAGGAGGAGAAGGAGGAGGAGGTGGAGGAGGAGAATGAGGAGGAGGGGGGGGAGGGGAAGGACGAGGGGGCTGAAGGGAGTAGGGAGGAGGGAGGAGGATGAAGAGGTGGATGAGGAAGCGTGAATGTCTCTCGGAGTCTCTTCGGATGTCTTGTGGGAGCTTCTTGGAGTCCTCTTGGGGCGTCTTGGGGGCCTCTTGTCGGCCCTGTGGGCCTCTTAGAGTGTCTTGGGTGCTTCGGGGGAGCCTCTGAGGGGCCTCTTGGGGTTCCCTTGGAAGCCTCTCTCGGATCTCCTGGGTTTTTTTCAGGGTCTCCTCGACACCTCTTGAGGTCCACTCTCGGGAGCCTTGGGGGCAATCGTGGGGCCAACTTGGAGGGATTCGATCAGGGTAGGGGGGTACTTACTCAGCTTGTCATCCTAGGAGTCCAACATTTGGTACATTATTACAAAGTTCAGGGACGCTTAGTGAGTTCTGCCTTTTCGCCGCGGCCTCCTTACGTAGGTCCTGGGACGCTCCAATGGTCGCCGGTCGCCCCGTCCAGGTCCAGGTCCAGGGGTTTAGGGTAGGGCCCCCCCCCGAAGGGGAAGAAGGGGGGTTGGAAGAGGAAGCTCCCCGGACCACCTGCGCCCTCAAAGGCTGGTGAGGTGATCCTTCTCCTCGCCCTGTGTCCTCACTCTTCCTCATCCCTCCTCCGCGTTCCTCCTCATTCCTCGTCGTCCGACAGCCTCCTTCCGCTTCTCCCTACCCGCCCCCTCTTTGTTGTGTTGATGATATCTCTCCCTCTCATGTCTTTCTGGCCTGATGTTTTTCCCACGTCTCTTCATTTGCGGATGAGGGGGGCGGGAACTTTCACCCAATCTCGTGGCAGGGGATGTCGACGAGGACGTGGATGTTGGATGTGTTGTGCCCCTCTCTCGCAGTAGATTCGGCACGACTCAGCGCCGTGGTCTCACTCGCAAGTGCGTATAAAAGAAAGAAGGTGGGTCGCTCGCAGGGGCGCGAGCACAGCTCTGCTTCACGCTTCGCGGTCTAGCCCGGATTGCTCTGTTCCTCGAGGGGTCAGCGCGAGAGCGCACGCATCTCATGTTTTCGTTGCTCCGCGCAGTGCGATCTGCGGAGCTGGGCGGCCTACGGTGGAGTCGTTGGGGGTCCAGCCTCTGGGCGGTCCTGCCGCGCGCACTGCGGGAGCCCCCTCATGTGGCATGCCGAGCAATGCTGGGCCAACTTGTGCGATCTCGGAGGCCATCTGGAGCTGTATGCAGCCACCTGTTTGAAATACCACCGGCACGCCACTGATGTGCCAACCACTGTCAATATCATCAGATGCTTGAGCTTTGTGGGTGTTGAGTGACAGGGATGGACAGGGATTGACTGAATTCCCCCCCCGTCGAAGACCTACACATCGCCTCTTCGGTGCTCTTGGGGTTGTCTTTAAGCCCTCCTGGGCCCCTGGGTGCCTTGGGCGATCTTGGAGCCATCTGGAGATCCCTCGCCAGTCCGACACGAAACAAGGAGATTGTCGCCATCATGTATGTTTCCCTACAAGGTGGTTGATAGATTTAGGCCTCTCGGGGGCGTCTTTCGGAAGCTCCGTGACCAGTCGGAGCAGGCTTGAGACGGTCTTGTGGTCTTTCGGAGGCATGGTAGAGGCTATCTTGGGCCATCTTGGGTTTTCTTGTGCGGTCTTTGAAACAGCCCTGGGCATTCTTGGTCTCTCCAGGGGCCATCTCCGGCCATCTTGAACGCTCTGCTGGTCTCGGTACCTTCCGTCCAGACTCGGTGGATGGGGTATGGTAAACCCCTCCCCGAGTTGGAAGAGGGGGTCGGAAGATCGAGCTCGTCAAGCCACATGCGCCCTAGAGAGTTGATGGAATTGACGGCCCGACGTTTTGCGTATCACAGTCGTCACAAAAAATCTCGCTCGAGACTTCCTCAACGTAGAATCCGACGTGCACGATTGAGCAACACTGACATGCATCCCTGATGCATCCGGGGTCTACCTCAGTCCTCCTCTTCCGTCTGGGCCCGCGGCGCATCCGACTCCGCGCGCCCAGCCCTGCCGGCCGAGGATCAGGCCCGCCGAGCCCACGAGGAAGCGCAGCGGAGGATGCAGGCGGAGGCGGGGGGGCGGCCCGGCCGCGCTTTGCCGCTCTGTGCAGCGATCGTCCGATGTTCCGAGTTCGTGCACCTGGGCGAAGCGTGCGAGGCGTCAGAGCACGAGGGAGGGCGTGAGACGCAGAAGAATGCGGAGGTGCGGAACGCAGACGAGTGCGGAGCGTGCGAAAGGCGGAGACGTGCCAAAGACGACAGCATGGCGGTGGGAAAATCTATACGAAGCATGTGGAATACTGAGTTGAGTCATGTCAACAAGGGGGGGGGGAGGAGCCAACGCCGAAAAGTAGAGGAGTGCCAAACGCATCAATAGCAGGAAAGTAGCTACGTCACGTGTGAAGGCGTAGAACGTTGATCAGGTCGAAGCGCGTTGCAGTTACTCTGACGCGGAGTGCGAATAGCGCAGCGCAAGTGTACCACTTGCAAATTGCAGCATGCCAAATTCGAATTGAGCAGGACGGGAGACAACAGGAGGGAGGTGGAATGATTTTGATGCGCTGTGAAGGAGGATAGGTTTTCATGTTAAGTCGAAGAGTGCAGTAGGATCAGGAGATGAGAGGGGGGGAAGGAGGAAGCTCCGCCTCCCTCCTCGTTGCTCCGACTCATCTTTCCTCAATTATCCCGCATCCCCGCCCCTCCTCATCCCACTCATTCATTCTCTTCCTCCCCCCTCCCTGTCCCTGCCTCTCCACCACCGTCCTTCTGCACCCGCCTCCTCGTTCTCTCCCCCATCGTTCTCCCCCCTTGCCATTCCGCCGACGCCCAAAGGATCGACGTGCGAGCGTGAGTATTCACGCTTCCTGTCGTCCAGCAGCATATTGACCTAGCCAAGTCCAGCAGAGATGAATTCAGGCACCACTGGGAGCCTTGTGGTAGCCTCTCAGAGTGGATCGCAGTGTGAACAGTGTGCTAACTGCGCTTCGCAGGTGCAAGCTTGGCCGCTGATCATACTACTAAAAAGGATAGTTCAATTCGGGGAGCTCCATACCTGACTTGGGAGGCAAGCCGCGACCCAATCGGGAGAGGACATCTTTGTGCGATCTGTTTGCTGGCTTACACTGGGCCAAGAGCTTGCAGGCGTTCTTAGCACAGATAGCTCCGCAAGATGTGCGAACCATAGAGCCTCTTGCGACCTCTACAGGATGGGACGGATGGCAGTCAGCAGCCTTCGGATTCCGACAAACGCCCCCTCGAAACCAGGGGCGGGTCCATACGAGCAGGATAGCGGTCGTGAGGGAAGAGACGGGTGAAAGGACCAGAGTCGCCTGACGGGCAGCGAACACACTGCCAAAAATCAGCAAGCAATCCTCTCCTGGAAATCGAGCGGGTGAATCCAGTGCACCAAACCACTGACGCTTCAACCTTACAGATCATGCCCACAAGCACCGAGACGAGGCACAAGTAGATCATCAGACCGGTCCCCTCCCTTCCTGCGGCGCACGGGCAGGACGGTACGGCTTTCCTTGCGGCCGTTGAGGATGTTTCTGATGTTGATGCCGATGACGATGACATTGGTCTTGATTATGACGAAAACGATGATGATGCTGATGGTGATGATGATGACGATGACGATGATGATTATGTTTATGCTGACGACGATGATCATGATGATGCTCGTCATGATGATGAGGATGAGGAGGATGAGGATGAGGATGATGATGCAGATTGTGATGATGATAGTGATGATAATTTTGATGCTGATGATGATGAGGATGAGGATGATGATGATGATGATGATGTTGGTGATGCTGATGATGATGGTGGTGATGGTTGTGATGCCATCGATGATGATGAGGATGATGATGGGGATGAGTGACGACGACGCTGATGCTGATGAGGATAGTAAGGTTGACGATGCTAGTGATGATGTCGATGGTGATGATGATGTTGTTGATGATGGTGATGATGATGACGATGGCGTTGATGCTGATGATGCTGATGATGATACTGCTGCTTCTGCTGATGATGCTAATGCGGATGATGGTACTGATGACGATGATCATGATCATGAGCATGATGATGATGATGATGATGATGATGATGATGATGATGATGATGATGAGGATGATGATGCTGCTGATGATGAAGACACTGGTAGCCATGATGATGATGCTTCTGATGCGGACTGGGGTTGCAGAGGAGCGGGGGGGAGGTTGGGTAAGGGAACGAGCGATGCTGGCGATTTGGAAACCTGCTCCGGAGACATGCATCGGTGAGGAGGAAGGATGCAGGGGGGCCCATGCAGGATATCGGCGTGAGAGGGCAGATGCCGTGAGAGCATGGAGGGACGGGATGATGCAGCCAGTGATGATGAGGGGGAGGACGAGAACCACGGGCAGGACAGGGCACGAGAGAGATGGAGCGAGAGAGAGATGGAGCGAGAGAGAGAGAGAGAGAGAGAGAGCACAGTCGTTCCGTGTTAGTAGGTCGACCCTGCCAGCTCAAGGGTACCCTTGTGTCCTGTGCCTCGCGACACGTGCCTTCTTACACTCCTAGTGCGATGTGGCCCTCGGAAGGGTCTTGCGTCCTCTCGCGTGTCCTGTGAAATCAAGTCCGACTGTATGATGGATGAGACTGGAGGATGTGGAGGAGGCGGAGGGAGAAAATGCATCATGAGGAGCCAGCGCAGACAGAGGACGAGGAGGGGGAGGAGGAGGAGAAGGAGGAGGCGGATGGAGAGGATAGGGGACAACGAGCAGGAGGTGGAGGGGGGGAGCAAGAAGTGGTGGGATAGAAGGGTTTGATGGATGATGCGAGAAGCCTGTCTCTCCCCTTCCTCCCTGCGCAGGGGGGAAGGGGGGGGGCGAAGCCTTCGCCCCTACTTCCTCATCCCTCTCTTCCCCACCCTCCCCTTCCACTTCCCCCTCGGGGTTGAACTGTGCTCTTCTCTCCCCCTCCTTTCCCGGGAAGGAGCGGGAGAAAGTGGAGCAACTGCGGGAGGGGCGTGAGGCAAGCGATGGCAAGGCCGCATACCACGCGAGTTCGGGCGTGTGGGGTGAGGAGGGAAAAGGGAGGAGGATGAGGAGGGAGGAGGGGGGACAAGGGAGGGAGGGATGGCGAGGATGGAGGCGGAGGAGGAGGAGGATTGAGGAGGAGGAGGAGGGAGGTGGAGGAGAGGAGGAGGAGGAGGAGGAGGAGCAAGATGAGGATGAGGAGGAGGGAGGAGAGTGGAGGATTGAGGGAGGGCGGAAGGTGGAGGGTGGGGCGCCCCGGGGCGAAGGTGCTGGAGAGGCGGATGGAGGCGGAGCGGCAGAGGCCGTCGGCCCGCGTCCTGCTGGCCGCCGCAATCGCGGAGAGTTTGCTTCTTCACTCCAGGATCGAGGAACATACAAGGAGGAAGAGGAGGAGGAGGAAGAGGAAGAGGAGGGAGGAGGAGGAGAAGGGGTAGGAGGAGGAGAAGGAGGAGCTTCTCGTTCTCCTGCTCCATCGTCGCGCTGCTGGAGGTGCTGAGGGGGTGTGCTTAGCCAGGCTGCAGTTGCACTCGCAGGAGAGGGAGGAAGAGGGAGGAGGAAGGAGGAGGGTTGACATGTTGGTTTTAGGTAATTTGGCTATTTGGGGAGGCTCTAGGGCGCCCTGGAAATTAGAGAGATTGGGGGGTGCGGGCTGTCGCGCGGTCCACCAGAGGGGGCGGAGGCGGCGGCAGATCGAAGTGGGCCGAGGTTCGGGGAGTCTAGAGATGTTGGGCGTTTTTGCCAATGCCCGTGCCTCGGCAGGCAGGGCTCCAGGGCCTTCCCAGGCTTCTGGAGGGCCCCAGTGACTTCTGGAGACCACAGACCGTCCTCCTCTTTGATTCCCTTTTTTCCCCAAGCTCCGGGCACACGCGTCGAGAGGCAGGGCCGGGGCCGATGTAGAGGCGACTTGCGCCATGCGCAGAGGGCCAGGCATCACTGTGGCGGAGCCCCCATGTAGGGGGCACATCGACAAATCGAACACATGGATAGCTGGACCCTGGTATATTATGACAGCGACGTCACACCAGGATCCACGATTACGGATCCAGAGGCACCGGCCTCAATATCCATGACACCCGTGGAACCACACATGCACAAATAATCCAATTCTTGAAGTCCTCGAAACCTAAGCAGGCTCCGACGAATACCTATCTAAGTTTGACGACCGAGCGAACACGCCAGCTTCGGGCGGCAACGCCCAAGAAGAAACACTACCTCCAGCGCCGGCCGCGCTCGACGGCACGTTTCCGATCATCGTTGAGGATTCGGAAGCGGACGTGGAAGCACAGATCATGGAAACGCGGTATGTTGAGCTACAAGAGAAAAGGAATGCTCGAGACTCCCTCATGGGAACCCTTGTGCTCTGTGTTCGCTGAGATGGTTACAGACCACCACGCCCTCGTGATTGTAGCCAGTGAGGAGCAAGGCGGGAAAGTGGCTGCGCTCGTCATTGCGACGCCGACGACGCCTTCTTGGCATCTGGGATAACAGACGACTGCGAAACCTACGATCTCGATTCGGATGAACGCGGTCAGTATGTTGAGCAATGGTTTGCTACTGACATGGCTGAAGGTGATCTGACAGAGTAACTGAGTGAGTCACTGCGCAACGGCCCCAGATAACTGCGACGCGCGCGCATGTCTCAGCCGGAGCTAAAAACTGCGGTCGTCAAGGAAGGCGACCTCCTGACGAAGGCAGACATGCAGGCCAACTCGTCAAAGATCTTCGAACCTTGCACACGTAACCCAAGGCATTACAGCAAAAACTTCTAGTTACGAGGCAGGAAACCAACAACGCTACCAACATCATGACCTCCAGATCTGTGCACAAGTGTAAGTTCGTCAAGAACGAAGAAGGCGAAATGGGACGAACCGCGCGACTGCTTCGTGTCTTTTGTGGCTTCATGGCCGTCGAAGCATTCGACGTGGAAACTTTCGCCGGCGCAGCTCGTCCAGCAAGTCATAGACTGCTCGCTAGCGCGGCCGCGCGCAGGAAACAATGGATCATCGAATCCATGGATCTCGACAGTGCTTGCTCGAAGGGTTCGACCTATCGTGGGTTAGGAAAGGCCACTGGAGAGAAAGAACGCATGTCTTGTTTTACTATTCCACTTGGCTCAGCCTCTGTGCATCGCGCATTGCCCGGCATCTCGTCCCATGGCGACTCAAAGCGCTGTCTGCAGGGCCTGGAGCCAGGCGCCGGCGCCGAAGATGCCCAAGGGCGTTCTCACTGAATCTCCAGACCATCACGGGAGGCTGCGGGCTAAAACCCACGCCATGTGGGGAAGAATCTGAGAGAAGGCCAAATTTTTAAACAGCCACGCGCGTTGACGACATGAACAAGGCATAGAGTTGATGGCGCGATAGGCAAGTATGGCAAATGTGTAGAAAGCACTCCTGGGGCGCGCAAACTGAGCATTCACTGCTGCGCCAGCCGCGCCGCGCGCAGCGCTAAGACCGAGGGCGGCCGCGCCCAGTTAAACCATATCTATATATGTATGTGTGTGCGTGTGTATAATTTAACTTCGTCTTTTACAGCGCCCAGAGCTCGCGGGCGCGGTCGCCGAGGAAATGGCGACGAATCCAGTGCGCGACGCGATCATCGGTTCACGTGGATCGTTGGCGCAGGCGTGGCCCCTGGCACGCGCCACGCCCTCGCAGCGCGCGCAGGGGCCTGCGGGCCGACGAGTGCGGAGACTCAGCGCCGTCACGCGTAAACACCAACAAGGCCAATTAAGAGGTTTATACATATATCTCCATACTTATCAGTTCATGACGCCGACAGGAGAAGTGGGCCTCTATAGCGACCGCGGCAGCCGTCGCTTCAGCGGGGACGCAGATGGCGAGGTCGAGGGATCTGGCATCCGAGGTGCCAACCTTTCATCGCGTGGACACGCGCCTGATGGCAAGGCAGTGGTACACCTGATCGACGCATGTTGCAAGTCACCCCCGCACGCGGGTGCGTTCCAACCACTCGGCCGAAACGCTGGCAGCAGCCCATAATCTTGAACACTGCTACCCGACCATTTGGCTGGCCCACGACGCTGGCCCCCAACGCCGCGCGTTCTCAAGGCTTGCCCACAAACGCCAAGATGACGTAAGGGCTTGCTAAATTTTGGTGGTATCAGCACCGAGGCCATCCTTCCCAGCAGCGCTAAATCGTTGTTCCCATCTTTGTCGAGTCAGAAGCCAATCGCATACGCTTCGTTGGGGCATATCATCTGGATATGACAAAGGATGGACCGAGTTGTCGCCCACAGCGTAAAGTGTTGCGATGCAGCAGGTATGGCAGCATATAGTCGCGCGAGCGGATGCACCAGTCGTGCCCGACAGCTGCAAGCCATGGAAGGTAATCCGCTTTTCAAAAATGAGATAAAGAAGCGTTTGTCCGTCTGAGGCAACACAGGGAGACAGCATCTACTTCCAAGTGCCCTAATCAGGGCTAGCGGATAGGTGCACGAATGACTGCCCATAAGCTTGGCCACGGGCTGATTGCACCTACATACCTAGATACGGGCCAGCCCGGACGCGTTTTTTTTTTTTTTTTTTTTTGTCGGGGTGGGGTGGGGGGGGGATTGTTTGGTCGGGTACCCTCTCATTGTGCATGCTTTGACGTCTTGGCTGTTGGCCAGACGTCCACCCCCAATCACCTGTGGGTAATCGCGCGGTCTGGCCCGTGACTGCCCATGATATTATGCGCTTGGTCGTGCTGTTAAGCCCGCGACTGCCCTGATATTCTGCGCTGCCATTTCTGTGTTTCGACTTTGCACTGCTAGAGGTGTTGATATGTATGTACGCACATTTATATACACATAAGTATGTATAGCCATGCGTTTCTTCATTGCTTGCATGCTTTTTGGGGGGTAGGTATATCGTTCGCTACCTCCCGGGAGTTGCAGGGGCAGTATATCTCAATTGTTTTACCCGACGCTACCTTGTCTCAAAGTAGCGCTGCCCAATGTGCCCATCACTCGACAGCGGGGCACGTCGGTTCACTGTGCCAAACCAAGGGCACTTCTATCAATTACCCATATGTTTATATATCATGATGTGTTCCTTATCTCTCGTCTTAATTGCCCTCGAGGGATGAGTTAGGGGATACTTCGATACGTCGCCAGCGTTTTCCTAAGAGCGTTTTTGACACCTCATGGTCAAGCATTTGTACTTTGATTGTCGCTTCTCGACCCCCGCTCAGAATCCCCGTGGTCTCCTTCCTCCTTCCCGCCCTCCGTCCGCCCTGCTCCCCCCCGAAAATATTTCTCTCATCGCCGCCGCCCCTTGTCCCACGCCCCCCAGCCCCGCGCCCCCGTAGTCTCCTTCCTCGTTCCCTCCCTCCGTCCGCCCTGCTCCCCCCAGAACATATTCCGTCCATCGCCCCCGAACATATTCCGCTTCTTCCTCCTCCACGCCCCCCTTTCCCGCCCCAACCCCCCTCCCACGCCCTCTGGCCTTCCCGCTCCCCCCCCCCCCACGCGCCTCCCCACCCCACCGCGCCACCTCCCCCCCGCTGCCCTCGCCCCCCCCACCTTGCCCCTGCAGGGGGGGGTGGGGGGGCGCGCGTCGACCGCCGAGGGGCCCCCGCCGCGACGCGGCAGGCGGATCGACGACGCTGGCGAGCTCGGGGCCCCCGCGGGGGGCGGCCAGGAACCCGGGCGCCTCCGCCGAAACCAAGAGAGGTGGCAGTGGGCTTCTCGGTCCGGCTGGGCCTGGTCCTCCTTCTTTGGGTGGGAGGTCGGCGCTGGCGCAAATTTTGTCTAAGATGTTCTCCTGCGGGCCACCATTGAGGCTTGCGAGGTGCGCGGGGGAAAGCAGCGGCGCCCTGCTGTTTCTGTCGCCCCCCCCTCTTACTCCTTATCCCCTCGCCCTGCGGGGCAAAACCGATCGTTGTAGGCGCACTTTGGCAACGTGGAAAGACTTGCGAACGCGTGCTCAGAATTCGCCCCAGTGTCAGAAGATCTGCATCTGCCAATGGGTCGGAATGTGCACCTCGGTGGGGGATGGGAGGGTGCATCCGTTTCGCCAGATAGTGTATTCCGATCCGTTGGCCTTCCGTTTATGCAAGAGATGTGGGAGGTTGTTTTTTGTTGTATGTGTTGCCTGGCCCAGGAGTGCATTGTTGGCAAGGCCACAGTGTCTACAGTTCGGCGAGAGCATCTCGACCGAAACTCCAGGAACATGTGGCCCAAACTACTTAGCAAGGTCGAGAAGGCGGCGCGGAGTTTGTATCTATCAGACTCGCTTCGCGCTTGGTTTGCGTCATCTTGTCCCTCTTCCCCCCTCTTCCTTTGCATATCCCTCGTCCTTTGTCTCTTCCTCCCGCTTCTCCTCGAGTTCTTTCCCCCCCCCTCCTCCTCCCCATCTCCTCATTTGCTCTCTTCTCGCAGCCCCCAGGACACCCCGCACCGCGGCTAGATCGATAAAAGAAGCACGATGACCATGATTTGGATGTCGCGGGATCTTATCTTCACTGATTTTGGTCATGGCCCATCTTGTCCGTTGCCGATTAACGAGAATGAGCCACGAACTAAAGATTGCCAAGATGGACGATGACCAAGATCAGCATCGACGTTCCCGCTTTCAGTGTTGACCATGGCATTGGGATTATTTCCGTCCAGTATTGGGCCGTTTGCCCACGTATTCTTTGATTCCAAATTGCCCCGCGTCTGCTACCCTGGCGCTCCCTCCTCTCTCCGCATGTCCGTTTCGTCACGCCGCTCACGCGCCAGTCCGTAGCCATTTTGGCTGAAGCAGTCTTCCCCCCGTCTTCCCCTTCCGCGATGTTCCTCGGCGTGCGCCGGGCTGCACCCGCGGCTGGCATGCGAGACGAGAGGCGGGCTATGTCTACGGGCGGGCCCTCGCCGCTGCCTGCGTCGTGTGCGGCCCCGCGGCCTTGGGCGGGCGCGTCAGCTTGCTCCGTGCAACGCCGTCTTCATCGTCGGCGGATCGTGGACGGCCTGCCGCCCTGTGTCGATTACCGCGGCCGCTGCCTGGCTGTCTGGAAGGGGCTGGACTTGCACGCCGTGCTGGACGAGGTGGCGGTCGTGCACCACCACTCACTACCTTGGCGCTTGGATGTGGTCATTCCGCCGCCTCTATCTGCTCGGGTGTCTTCGACACGGTCGTGGCCATCAGTACTCAGCCTGGCTCCGCTTGCGGGGCCTGGATGGCAGCCGCGCCGCGAGTCGGGACCTCGTCGTGTGTCATGGTACTTTTTCCCCGCCGCGGTCTTCAGTTTTGCCGCCGTGTTGGAGGAGTTCCGAGGGGTTCGATTGTGTTGGCGTTGTTGAGTGCAGAGCCCCTCACGCGCCCCGTGGCCCCGCAGGAATCTTTGCGTACGGTCCGGCGCAGACGCAAGGCGATCCCACGTCCGTGGCCCCACAACAGGATTCCACACGTGTCTCAGCACAACGGGTTTCACATACGAACCAGTGGGCGAGGACGCACGCCCTCCCACTGGCCAGTTCGGCACACCCTTCACGAGAAGCGTCACCCCGTAGGTCGCTCACCTGCGGTCTCAGTGGGCGCAGATGCGTGACGTCCCCCGCCCATCTCGGCCCCCCTCTCGCGAGGATCGTCGCCACGAAGGTAGCTCCACCTACGGTTTTCGTCGACGCAAACGCGTAGCGTCCCCGCGCTCATGTCGGCACACCCTTGCGTCCTTCCTCCTCCTTTCCTCGTTCTCCTTCGTGTACGTCCCCTCATCTTCCCTCTCCCCCCGCCAAGGAGCCGAAGCTCTCAGAGGAGGAGGCGCTGCAGCGGCGCGTGGAGGAGGAACCGGGCAGGGACATGAAATTGCGTGCACAGGGCTCCTCGGTCTCCTCGACGCCTCATGACCTTGCCCCATCCTCCGTCCTCCTTTCCCTCTACTCTTTTCTCACCGTCCAGCTCTTCCTCCCCCTTGCCCTTCCCCCCTTATCTCCCGTCCCTCCTCATCCTCCTCCTTCTCCTCCTCCCCCTCCTCCCCGTCATGTTCCTCCTGCCACAGCTCCCCCGCTCTACCCTACCCCCCCGTTCTTGGCCAGACCTAAACCTAGGCGCCTCCCTGCCTTGTTCCCTCCTTTTTACAGTTTTTCTCGCCCCTTCCTCTTCCTTCCTCCTCCCTCTCCTCCTTCCTCCTCCATCCCCGTCCGTGACCCTCCTCCCTCATTCGCCTCCTCCTCTTCCGTTTCCTCCACCGTCTCCTCCCTCTCCTTTCTGAGAGACGAGAGGAGGAGAGAGGAGAAGGACGAGATCGACGGCCACTTCTCCGAATATGGTGCATTCCAGTGCCAGTTGGTCTTCACAGGAGGCCTCCACAGGAGGGGCACCCACATCTCACAGATGTTCTAGACTGAAGGGTCTGCAAGAGGTGGCCTTCAACACGGGACGCTGTCAGCCGTTCGGGAAGGCGGGTGAGTGCATCGACGAGTGGCAGTCTCGTTGGGCTGCGCAATTGCGAGGCCTCTGGCTGCAGCGTTAATTAGTGGGCGCGAAGCGGACCTGTGTTCCCACTTCTTGGCTGACCATTCACCAGAGCAATACTGAAGGTCCCTGGGTTGCAGGTCTTGTGGATCCCGACGGGGAATCGCCGGCGTTTGCGTGCAAAGCTCGTTACGAGCCGCAGTTTGTTTGGCCTCAGAAGCTCAACCGAAACACATGAGGCTGGTGCATCTACGCAGGCGATTTTGGACTGGCTAACAACAGCCTTGAATTTAGACGGTCAGCAGGGTGCGCCGTCGATCTGGGACACCACGGGTTCCTTGTTCGTACTGTCCGCGGCGCACTTCCTGTGCCGCACCAGCGGGTGCCGATAGCCCAGCGTTTCGCGTTATACCAAGCGCTTTGGGCTGGCACGGAGTGCGCGTTGTGTCCGATCGTCGGCGTGCCTTGCCCCAGTGCAGCTTGTGGTCCCCTCGGCTCGAGGCTGGGCAGTTTGCCCACACGTCGGTGTGGAGGCACCCTTTCGCGCTGCATGATGGTTCCCGTGTTCCACTGTCGTGTGAGTGTGTGTGTATGTGTGTGTGTGTGTGTGTGTGTCATTGTGCCCACTGCGATTGAGATGATATCGTCGAGTCGAGCACTGGTGTGGAAGATGTTCCCATGGGTGCTGAACATCAGGCCACGGATAAGGCCCTGGCCGAGTTCCAGTAATGACACCTTGGCCCGGTCAAGCGTCGCTTTTGATCTCCTCCGTCGCTTCGCCCAGTCGACTGCCGGCCCTGCCGCGAGCCAGTCGGCCCCGCCCCCTCCCGATACCTCTCTCGATTTTGGCAAAGCGGGCGTCTCGGAGCATTCCCAGCTTCATTCTCGGAGCGTAGATTCGGAAATTGGAGCATATACATTACCAGTGGCGGGCGGTTTTTCAATCCCACGACTTTTTTGAGGGTCGGGGACGACGTCGGGGTGGTGTGGTGTATGCTCGTTTCCCCGTTTTCCATTGGAAACGACAAATAATGTATGCACCAGGATGCCGTATGCACCATAATCCGTTTGATTGCACGAATCTCAGTGCGGGACCAGAAAAAACATCGGTGTATAAAGTTCGGTTCTTTATGTATGTATGTATGTATGTATGTATGTATGTATGTATGTATGTATGTATGTATGTATGTATGTATGTGTATATATATATATATATCCCTGGGCCACTCTCGGCTCTCCCGTGGGTCCCTCGAGCGATCTGCATGCCTACGCGGAGGGACGTCCGGGGAGCCGCCGCGAGCGTGCGGCCCGCCGGGTCTTCTCGGGGGCGGCGGGTGCACGAGCTCTTCGGCCTGCGCGTGCGGTGCAGGCGGCTCTCCCCGCTGCCGGAGAGGCCCTGGGGTAAGGTCGGGCCTGTCCCTCTACAGGGGGGATGTTCAAAAACAGTCACAACAAATAGTATGGAGACCATTTGTTGAGTATTTTGGGGGCATCCTTTGAATCTTTTGTGGGGGGACTTTTTATTTTCCGTCCAAAATGCCCCTGTAGGGGGACAGGCCCGACCAAACCCTGGGGTTGGCTGATGCGCCGCCTTTCGCAGTATCGTGCTGCGCTCGATGGGTTTAGTTCGCTTGGGCACGAGCTCCGACGGCGAAGAGGAGTAAGACGATAATACGATTCAGCGGCATTACATAATCTTCCGAAACTCCGCCCGGATTTCTTGGGTCCTGCTATTGGCACCTTTGGCGGCGCCTATGGTGCGCTTCGGTCCAAGAAATCCGCGCGGTGGTCCGACACTTTATGTTCATGCATTTCTCTGTAAAAGAACCTTGTGGAATCGGAGCAGGGTGCTCGTGTTGTCTTCTGCTCGGCTCACTGCGCTTTTTCCAATCGGGCATTGATATGGCCGTGGTCTCCATTTTCCTGGGTGCAGTCGTCGCCCTGGCACTAAACTCTCGTAGTGCTGTGAAGATGCAGTACGCCGCGAGAGGCCTCGACCCCACTGCTGGTGAGCCGCTTGACTGATGTTTCGAGGGGGCAT